TCTCTTTCAATTCCTCCCACTTCCTACAGACAAAGGGGGTAGCCATGGGTACCCGCATGGGCCCAAGCGACGCCTGCCTCTTTGTAGGTTACGTGGAACAATCCCTCTTCCGTACCTACACCGGCCCTAAACCCCACCTCTTCCTCCGTTACATTGATGACTGTATCGGCGCCGCCTCGTGCGCCCACGAGGAGCTCGAACAGTTCATCCACTTCACTAACACCTTCCACCCCAACCTTAAGTTTACCTGGACCATCTCTAACACCTCTCTCCCCTTCCTGGACCTCTCTGTCTCCATATCGGGCAACCACCTAGAAACCGATATTCATTTCAAGCCCACCAACTCCCACAGCTACCTAGAATACTCCTCCTCCCACCCACCTTCCTGCAAAAATGCTATCCCCTATTCCCAATTCCTTCGCCTCCGCCGCATCTGCTCCCAGGATGAGGCATTCCACTCCCGTACATCTCAGTTGTCCTCGTTTTTCAAGGACCGTAACTTCCCCTCCTCGGTGGTCGAGAACGCCCTCAACCGTGTCTCCCACATCTCCCGCACCTCATCCCTCACACTCCGTCCACGCAATAAAAACCAAAAAAGAATCCCCCTCGTCCTCACGTACCACCCCACCAACCTCCGGATCCAACGCATCATCCTCCGACACTTCCGCCATCTGCAATCCGACCCCACCACCAAAGACATCTTTCCCTCCCCACCTTTTATCTGCTTTCCGGAGGGACAACTTTCTCCGTGACTCCCTTGTCCGCTCCACACTCCCCTCCAGCTCCTCCACACTCGGCACTTTTCCCTGCAACCGCAGGAAGTGCTACACCTGCCCCCATACCTCCTCCCTCACCCCCATCCCAGGCCCCAAGAAGACTTTCCACATCAAGCAGATGTTCACCTGCACATCTGCCAATGTGGTATACTGCATCCGCTGTACCTGGTGTGGCTTCCTCTACATCGGGGAAACCAAGCGGAGACTCGGGGACCGCTTTGCAGAACACCTACGCTCGGTTCGCAACAAACAACTGCACCTCCCAGTCGCGAACCATTTCAACTCCCCCTCCCATTCCTCAGACGACATGTCCATCCTGGGCCTCCTGCAGTGCCACAACGATGCCACCCGAAGGTTGCAGGAACAGCAACTCATATTCCGCTTGGGAACCCTGCAGCCCAATGGTATCAATGTGGATTTCACAAGTTTCAAAATCTCCCCTCCCCCCACCGCATCCCAAAACCAGTCCAGCTCGTCCCTGCCTCCCTAACCTGTTCTTCCTCCTCCCACCTCAAGCCGCACCTCCATCTCCTACCGACCAACCTCATCCCGCCCCCTTGACCTGTCCGTCCTCCCTGGACTGACCTATCCCCTTCCTAACTCCCTACCTACACTCACCTTTCCTGGCCCCATCCCCGCCTCTTCGACCTGTTTGTTTCCTCTCCACCTATCCTCTCCTCTATCCCTCTTCTATCCGCCTCCCACTCGCTCCCTATTTATTTCAAAACCCCCTTCCCCTCCCCCTTTTCTGATGAAGGGTCTAGGCCCGAAACGTCAGCCTCTCTGCTCCTATGATGCTGCTTGGCCTGCTATGTTCATCCAGCCCTGCACCTTGTTGTCTCGGATTCTCCAGCGTCTGCAGTTCCTACTATCTCTGATTCGAAAATACAATATTCTCTGTCCCAACAGCATTCCTTTTATGTCACTCAAATGCAAGAGAGAATTCCCTCCTTTATCACATCTATAGGTTTGACTTAACTGTTGCCTTAGTTCCCTGTCTAGAGAGTTTGATAGTCACTCCCTTGAGTATTCACATGACTGCACTTAGATTTTCTCAGCTTCAAATAACCCGTTCAGGGTTCTAACCAAACACTTCAGGTCTGGAATTTACAAACTAAAACAGTTACTCAAAGGTAATCTATCTCCTAATGAGCTTACTCTTTTCTCCCATTTAATTAGCTTTATTGTCACATAAGATGGCATGAGTACAGTAAACGGTTTACAAACCATCAACTTAAGGTACAAGGTACCTAGGTACAGATTCTTGTGTACAAATTCTTAGGAAAAAAATGGAAAAAAAACTAAAGAAATATAATGTCCAGCATTGCAGACCTTTTGAAAGTACAAAATTATAGTAATAAATTAGCAAAATAAAGATATAAAAAGTTCAGAATAATGGTCTTTCCATGATATAACAAAGGAAAAAACAATTTATAAAAATGAGAAATTAAGACAAAATCTATTAGTCCATTTCATGATTCTGGGCTTAAGGACACGACCCCCTCGTTGGAATCCTGGGCTGGACTCACCACTGTGCCGAAGAGAATGCTACGTGGAGTCACAGACTGACTGAAGCCACCACGAGGAGACCTAGACTGTGACAGTGCTGAAGTGGCTGAAGGGACTCCCAGGCTGCTGCTGAAAGGTGTCCCAGTGCAACTGTGAGATGAGACCAACTGTGCTGCCGTGAAGACACTGCAAAAGCCTCCAGGAAACGTGGCCATTGGAATCCTAGACCTGGATCCACCTTGCCTTCAGCCACTGCCGAAGCAGCTTAGTCAAAGGACCCACCAGGATGCAGCCATGAGGAATGGCTGGATCCACGCTGCATTCTCTGCTGCAGCAGCTTCTTGGAGCCTCCTTCCTCACCCAAAGCCATCAAAAGAAGGTAAGATGAACTTGATGTTAAAAACAAAATACTTAAAAAGGGAGAGCAAAAAAGGATGTGGCTGGCCCGGTGATAAGCAGGAGCCCGAATACTTGCTAAACTCTTCTTTGTAGATCCTACTTCAACTAGGATGTCTTTGAACTACCACCAAAAAACTTTCCAAGCTGTGGTGGATTTCTCCCCATGTGAAAAGAAATTGAACTCAGGTACTTAGAGCATCAGTTTGCTTTCAGCTATTCAATATTTATTCTGTCCATATATAAAACTCAATGCAAAAGGAAATCCCATTCCAACAGGGGAAAAAATCCATTTGCATCGATTAGAAGCCAAGAGTTAATTATCTGAACAATGTTTGAGTTTGTGAAAACTTCAGTGATCGTTTTGATCATTTCAGCATTAGGGCAGAATGTATTAAAGCAACGTGAGTGGTGTTCCTCCAGAGTTTGTTGGCATTTCTCTTCCGCTTTAGCTCCCTATTTTTGTTTTTTTTTTTTTTTTTTGGCAAGGCTTTGATGGCGTATGGTGATTCTCTCTGATCATTGTACATATGAGTCCACAGAATGTTGGTAGGGACTTATGGAGAGCACTATACTCCATCCTTCTCTTGCTGTCATCTGAAGTGCACATGGCAGTTTCTACCTGTAAAGTAATTTCAACAGGAAGACTATGGGCAACTTTCTCTAACCCGGCACAAGTTCCAGGAGCATAGAGGTAAATTGTAGCCGAGTTATGGCTCATTGATAAATCCATGATGTGAATCGGGAGAAAATTGAGGCACAATCCAATATGAAAGATGATAATTTAATACAGCACCAAGAGAATTCTGTATAGTTGAGTACTGTTATATTCAGTTCCAGTCTGATTTGTTATGCAGAATAACTGATTGCACAGGACCAATCAAATAAGAACAAGGGAGCTTAAATTAAGTATATGGAATGTAGATCTTTGAACAACTAGTTTAACCATCTATTACCTGACTAATAGTATTAACATTTCTTTGTATGTATGTTTCTTCTGGTGAAACAAATTGGACAGTTAATGAATTGAATCCACCAGTCTAATTTTTGAGATTTCCTTTCTCCTTTTTCTGCATTCCCTTAATCTCAAATTATGTATCTGCACACAGTTTTTGAAATTGATACAGCAAATGCCATCCCCCACGACAGATTGTGTTGGAGTGGCCATCTGTTGTAACAGTAAACGAAAGGTCCAAAGCCTTTGCTGAGTAAGCTGCTATCAGTGAGACTGTAAGTTATATTGTGACAGTTTGTCTTAGGGGGCCTGCTAAGGAACATCAACTCAACCAGGGTTCTTGCACTGGATCTCTGTTCAATAACCTTTGCTGAAAAGGTTGAGATTGGGGAAAAAGTTGAGGATGTTCGTTTGTGATACAGTTGCTGAGATGTGGTGTTCAAGAGCAACTGTAAAGAATATCTGTTCAGCTGAAGTACACAAGTACAGCCCAGTGAAAGAAGAGTTCAGTAGAAATAATCAGTGGATTGGAAAAATATGGTCTTTCAACGCCAGTGGGCTGAATTGATTTGTTTTTAAATAACAGGGAAAACCTGTCCTGCAGTTTATCCAATCTAACAATTTAACAGTCTGGAAATACCTTGTAATTGACACCTCTATTCTTAATTGCAGGTGTGAACTACCAGTTTATCTGCTTTGTCTTGTATGACCTAACGCCAAACATCTTCTAATTATACGGTAAGTAAACTGCAACCTATTGCAGAATGTTAAAAGAAGCAGATGGTCAAGGATGCATTTTAGAGCTCCTTAGAGATTTTGAGTTCCACCTGCTGTCCCTAAATCTGTTTGTGCTGTTTTGAATGTTTACTGACTTTTATATTTATATAGTCTTGCAATATTTTAAGTTGTCATAGTCTGCATGAAAGAACCAAACAAGTGTTATCTGGCAAGTTAAGCTGTTTGTGATTTGTATGAAGAACCAGATAAACACGAATTCCTACATTACACACAATTATTTATGTATAGCCTTTCAAAATGCCCACTTACCCACCCTCCTCCATTCCTTTTCAGTAGCTTTTCCAGCTGCTGCACCCCTGCCTGTAAAATAATGAAATCAGAGTGGCTAATCTGACAGTTCTGGGCACGTGAATGCACCTTGTGACTTCAGCTACCAGACTACAGCAAACCTGAAAAGTGCTGCTGCTTATGATGCCTCTGCAGCCATTGACTTAAAGCTAATGGAGAACCCTCTGTTTTTAGTGCAATATGCTTTGTGTGGTAAATGTAATGTATATTTCTGGAATGAAGAAAAGAAAAAATGTTGGCAACCTCCATTTCTCCTGGTGTCTTGTTAGACCCTAATTTACGTTGATTCTTCGTCCAAGTGCAAATGTTGCTTTGCCTCGTAAAGCCTCACTCTGGTGTCAAGCAGTTACATGAGAGTCCAAGACAGCTTGCAAAGATTGGCAATGTACTATTTGTGGACTTGATATGGTTGACAGTTGGTAGACTGCTGGCTAGGATTACATTTGCCTCAGGAGAGCTTTCAAGGGCCAGTACATTTTGGAGATGTTCCATGGAGCTAAATTTTTATTTCTGACCTCTCAAGCAGATAAGACAGGAACTGTGATTTTGAGAATATCAACTGACTTCTTGCACCTTTTGAAACTTTTTAATGTGTTGCAGCGGAAGTTCTAAAATCTTTAATATTTTAACTCAGGAGTTCATCATTTACAACACAGTTTGTGGGGAAGTATATTCACCGCCTGACTCGGATTTGTTTAGCATCTATTTTATTTTATAGTGTACAGTCATTTTGACACCTTACCTCAATTGTACTTCAGTTGAAAATTGAGGATGAGTCAGAAGTGAAGATTCATCTCAAATGTTAATATTTTGTTAATTCTGTGGAATAGTCTTGTCATTTTTCTGTTCTTGTATTGCCATCTAGTGGTAGAATCACAAACTACACTTCAACCAGCTTGTGCTATATTTTAAGGGATACATTATTCTGGGAAGGAAGAAGAATAATTTTGTCATGAAATACCTTCTAGTAAAGTGTCCTAACACCATGTAGCCCTATTACATTCTGCAAGGGGATTTTTATGTTCAAGAAGGTCAAGTAATTCCGGAGGTAGAATGCATGGAGTCTCCTGATGTAAGGACACTCGCATTATATTTCTGCTGGATCTTTGTGTCGTGCACTTAAGCATAATGTCTGAGTCTCTTTGCTATCTAATCTGTATAAGTGTAATTTCTCCACTTAGTGGAGAGAGAGAGATCACTTCTCTTGTTTATGAAAGTACTTTTCTCGTCAAGGTGAACAGCATTAGTCTTGGACATTTTGAGCGGTTTCTTGATTCAGGCATTCAAGTGTTGATGTTAAGATCTTCCAAGTATGCATTTCGATCGGTTGGGTTAGGTGTAGTGTAGGATTCCTGCTACTACAGAAGAACTTGCTGGACCTCTAGCCAAGTTGTCCAGTACAGCTAGAAACACTCGTTATGTGGAAAGTTGTTGAGGTATGTCCTGTACACAAAAGAGGACAAATGAAATCTAGCCAGTTATCGCTCCATCAGTCTACTATTGATGATGACTAAAGTAATGGAAGAGCTCATTGACTGTGCTATCAAGCAGCACTTACTTCACATTAACCTGTTCACTGATGCACAGTTTGTGTTTCTCCAGTCACTGACCTCATGACAGCCTAGGCTCAAATGTGAGCAAAAGGCTGAACTCCAGATGGGAGGTGAAAGCAACTGCCCTTAATGTAATGATGTAAGATACAACAAAAAAAGCAGGAGTAGGCCATTCAGCCCCTCAAACCTGCCCCATGATTCCACAAGACCATGGCTGATCTATCCCAGGCCTCAACTTGTCTTTTGTGCCAGCTCCTCATTGACTTCATTTGTCAATATTTCAAAAATCTATCTAACTCTCTAAATATTCTGTGATGTAGCCTCCACAACTCTGAAGTAGAGAATTACAGACGTGCCCTCTGGGAGAAGAATTTCCTTAACATATTAGATTTAAATGCGTGTCCCCATATTTAGTAACAATGTGCCCCAGTTTGAGACCCCTTTCAGTAGATGGTTTACACACACTACTACTGCTTTGATTCACTGAAAGTGAGTGAATTTCAATTATGGAAGGAGTACTAGTCAAGTGGGCTCCTTTTGTTCTAGCTGGTGTCAAACTTGCTCAGCTGCACCAATCCGCACAAGTGGACAGTACTTCATTACACTTGTGACTTGTGTCTTGTGGCAGGTGGAGAGGCTTTGGGAAGGCAGTGAGTGAGTCATTTACCATAGAATTCCTCGCAACTGACCTATAGTAGCCACAATGTTTATGTGACTGGTTTGGTTCTGTTTCTGGTTAGGCTCTGTTTCTGGTTAATGGTAACCTTCAGGATATTAGTGGGAGACTCAGCAATGGTAATGGCATTGAATATCAAGGGTTAATCGCTCTTCTTAAATTCTCTCATTGGAGCTGATTGTTGCCTGGCACTAATGTGACAAGAATGTTCTTTTCCACTTCTCAACCGAAGCTTGAATGCTGTTCATGTCTTACTGCATATGGACATGGTTTTTTTTCACCTTTTTGGGGTGAACATTGTGCAATCACCAGTAAACATGCCCACTTCTGACCTCATGTTGGAGTGAAGGTCATTCATGAAGTCAAGGACACAATCAAGAGGATGTAGAGATGCCCTAAGACTGAAACGCTGGACCTCCAACAATGGCAATTATCTCCCTTTTTACTAGGTATAACTCCAGTGAGCAGAAAGTTTATTCTCATGCCGCTTGATTCCAGTTTTGTTAGCACTCCTTGATGTTGAGGGCAGTCACTCTCGCCTCCTTTCTGGGCTTTGGCTCTTTTGCCCATGTTTAACCCAAGGCTGTAATGCAGTCAGAAGCAGAATGGCTGCAGTGCAGGTTATGGCTTAGCGAATACCACTTAATAGCAATCTCGATGACCCTTTCTGAATATTTCTTGATGATCAAGAGGCATTGATAGATTTGTAATTGGCTGCATTGTAGTTGTCCTGCTTTTTTGTGAACAGAATATACTTGGATAATCTTCTATATTGCCAGGTAGATGCAAATGTTGCTTAATGTATGATCCATCTTGGCATCCTCCAGAGGTGTCCAATGTACAGATGCCAGTCCTTAGCCAGTTTGTTTCACTTCATGTGATGAAGATGTGGCTGAAGGCATTCCATCGGTGAAAGTAATGGGACCTGACAACATTCTGGCAATAGTGCTGAAAATGTATGCTCTAGACCTGGTCACATCCCAGATAAGCTGTTTCAGTATAGCTATAGTGACAATTTTAATCCTAATTGATGGAAAACAGTTACCTGTTTCTTTGGTGTGGTATTCCAGACTTGATTGGCATTGAAAATCAGAGCCACGTGACTTGATGCCAGATCCTCCCTTCTGAATATAACTTTCCTTTGTTGTGATTACTCCTGGAAATATTTGTATGTGAATGAGTAATAAGTCCGTGGAATGGGCACTCTAACTTTATTCATCTGACTGTGCCCGAACAGCAAATTTGTACTTGGCACTGTTATCCATTTTCCCTGGAACCCAGCTGCTTTCAAATAGTGCTCTCTGAGGAAATCCTCACTGCAGCCTTAATTCAAACATGGGCAAAAGAGTTGAATTCCAGAGGTGAGGTGAAAGTGACTGCCCTTGACATCATGATGCAATTGACGGAGTGTGCCATCAAGGAGCTGCTAAGGAGAAAATCTGGCGAGTTGGAGAAAGTCATACCTGGCATGTAGGAAGGTGATTGGAGGTCAGTCATCTCAGCTTCAGGACATCTCTGCAGGAGTTCCTTCGTGTAGTATCCTAGGCCCAAACATCTTCAGCAGGTTCATCAGTGACCTTCCCTCCATCATAAGGTCAGAAGTGAGGATGTTCGCTGATTGCAAATGGTACTGAACATTCTGCAACACATTGAAACAGTCCATGTTCACATGCAACAAAACGTGGTCAATATACAGACTTGGCTAAAACAACCACATTGCATAAATGCCAGGCAATGACTGTGTCTCCAATAAGAGATAATCTAACCACCATCCCTTAACATTCAATGGGTGTTACCATCCCTGAATCCCCATTCTTAACATTTCTGGGTGCTCACCATTGACCAGAAACTCAACTGGACGAGCCAAATAAATAGTGCCACAAGAGCAGGCCAGAGGTAGGAATGCTGGAATGAGTAACTCTCTCCCGATTCCCCAAAGCCTGTCCACCATCTACAAGGCACAAGTCATTGGTTGGCACTTGATTGGCACTACAAACATCCATTCCCTTCCTCTCTAGTACCCAGTAGCAGCAGTGTGTACTATCTACAAGATACACTGTAGAAATTTATAAAGGCTCCTTAGACAATACCTTCCAAGCTCAGGACCACTTTCGTCTGGAAAAACAAGGGCAGCAGATTCATAGGAACACCACCTGCAAATTTTCCTCCAAGTGACACACCGTCCTGATTTGGAAATATATTCTCATTAATAGTGTTGCTCGGTCAACACCTTGAATTCCCTCCCTCACGGCATTGTGGGAGTAACTACAGCACATGACTGCCGCTATTCAAGAAGGCCGCTCAATACCACCTTCTCAAGGGCACCCAGGGACAGGCAATAAATGTTGGCCCAGTCAGTGATGTCACGTGTCACAAGTGAATAAAAACAATTTGTGAAACTGGACTCTTTGAGAGCTGTTTTC